TTCCAAAGAAAGGTGGCCCAACAGAATGCTCAAATATAGAACAATATCACTGATATCACATGCAAGTAAAAGTTTGCTGAAGATCATCCAACCATGGTTGCAGCAGCACATTGACAGGGAGCTGCCGGAGGCTCAGGTGGATTCAGAAGAGGACGTGGGACAAGGGATATCACTGCTGATGTCCGAGGGACCTTGGCTCAAAGCAGAGAAGGCCATGAAGATGTTTCCTTGTGTGTTGATTGACTGCACCGAGGCATTCAGCTGTGTGGATCATAACCAACTTGGGACAGCCTTGAGACAAAGAGGAATCTTGGAACACCTCTTGTGCTCATGTGGAACCTCCATGGATCAAGAGGCAGTTGGGGGAACAGAACAAGGGACCACTGCATGGTTTACCATCAAGAAAGATGTGCGTCCGGGTTGTCGTCTCTCACCGTATGCATTCAATCTGTGTGCAGAGCAAGAAGCTGGATCCTATGAAGAAGGATGTGGCATCAGGACTGGAGGAAGGCTTATCAGCAATCTGCGCTGTACTCATGGACACGGCCCTGCTGGCTGAAAGTGAGGAGGACTTGAAGCACTTGCTGAAGAAGATGGAGGATTGCAGCCTTCAGTGTGGACTACAAGTCCATGTACAAAAGACTAAAATCCTCACCACTGGACCAATAGGTCACATCATGATCAATGGAGGAAAAGTTGAAGTTGTCAAGGATTTTGGCTTGCTTGGGATCCACAATCAGTGAGTGCTTGGGACGCAGCAGTCAAGAGATCAAAAGGCACATCGCATTGGGTAAATCTGCTGCCCAAGACCTCTTTAGAAGAGTGTTGAAAAGCAGGGAGGTTACTTTGAGGCCCAAGGTGTGCCTGACCCAAGCCATCGTGTTTCCTATCGCTTCACGTGCAGGTGAAAGTTGGACATTGGATAAAGAAGTCCGGAGAAGAATGGATGTATTTGAATTTTGATGCTGGCGAAGAACATGGATGGTACCATGGACTGCTGTTGCGGGTTCAAATAAATGACAGCCACTATAATGTCTCGAAATTTAGAAGAGTCCTTATTCAGCGAGCTGGGCTCCCGAGAAGCTAAAGATGTTTCCGAACTTCTCAGTCCATCTTTAAGGCCAAAAAACTCATTTATCACCTGTCTAGGGTTCAAGCAAGCATGAATAGACGCAGAAAGCAAAATTAATGGATTAATTGTAACTTCAAGAAGAATAAGCATGGATTACAAGGTACATTCCTTATCGTAAAAGAAACAATACCAAAATGGATGATCACATCCTGGTTATCATAACGAGATTATATTGTAACAAACTGGTGATCGTGACAAGATGAACTACGCCATTCAGATGACAACATCAAAGGGAGCAATATTGAAAAATAATCCAAACCAACGATCTATTGAAGACTAGTCGAAACTAATTGTAAGGTCCAGAACCTGAGAACATGGGCGTACATCCTAAAATCAAACCCCAGCAGAGACTTCCCATCAGAGGAGGGAGAGCTGGCCGGTTAACTAGCGGTCAGCCTTCTGAGATGGGAGGGAGGAACGGGCAAGTCGCTTAGCAGCTAACAAAAATGGAGTTTCTTTTGCTAGTCTGCCTCACTGCCCAGAGAACAAACCAGCCTGTCTTGGAAGCAGTGAGGTCTGAGTGCTCCTTAGAGGCAAGGACGGCCAGCCTTTATCTTACAGACTTTGGATACCCTGGTCTCTCCTGGAGAAGGACATCCTGTTTGGTAAGGTAGAGGTGCATGGAATAAGAAGAAGACCCTTGGCGAGATGGATTGGCCCAGTGGCTGCCACAATGGGTTCAAGTACAGGAAACACTGTGAGGCTGGTGCAGGACCCAACAGAGCTGCTGTCTCCACGGGTCCTGGGTCTCCACGGGTCAGCTTCTAACAGCAACAACAGCTGGTGGGCCTTTTGGGCTTTGCCTCCTTGCTGCGTGTTTTCACCTTAGACCGGAGATTAACTTCCTGGCTGAGCCTTAGGCTTTTGCTGACTCTCAGCGGCCGGCCGGGAAAGTATCTGTTCACAGGGGCTGGCAGCAAGCTTCCAGCTGCTTCCGGAGCGGGTTCCGGAGGGATCTCCCCCGAGTTCCTCTTGGTTCAGCTTTCAGAAGGGGTGGCTTCCTCTCGTCCTGTGTCCTGGTTTCTCAGCTCTACACAAAGGAGACCAGATTCCCCCCACTGCCCCACCCCTTGCCCTGGGGGACTTTTTGCTCTCCACCACTTCATCCAACTGGGTCACATTTTTTTTTTACCCCGATCTCTAGGCGTTCACACAGCCATCACAAACAGGCCCCCCCCCCTTTGAAAATCCATTTGTCTTCTGGAATAAATCCTTCCAGTCTTTTCTCATTGTGTGGGCGTGAAATTCAGACACAGAGCATCAGGGCTGGGGCTGGGGCAAGGCTTGTCACTTAAAAGCGTGTTTTTCCTTAGTGAATAAGAGGGAGTCCTGGTTAGCGCTGATGGTTCCGAGCTTGGAACCAGATGCTTGAAGATTTGAGGCCACTCAGGGCCACCTCAGAAGACAAGCCAGGGATCCGGGATCCACTTTGAAGTTGGAGGTCTTGAAAACCTGCT